ATAAAACCAGCTTTCATTTTAAGTTCAGAAGTATATATGTGCAATGTACACTGAAGTGCCACTATATTATGAGTGCATGTTCACAATGTAAAGTTTCTTGCCCTCAAAACAACCACCAATTAACAAGGCATTGACTTGACAAGGCAGTTTGAAATACCTGGTACCAGGCACTGACCAACTGGTCCTGAAATTCATGCACATTGCAAGATGGTAGTGTGGCAGCTTGAATTCAGTTTTTCAAGTGGAACCACAAATGTTCGACTTGATTCTTATCAGAGGACCAGACATGACTTGAAATCACCAGAAGTTCCTAAAACCACTCCCTGACTACTCGGCTCTTATAACATAGCGCATTATCTTGTTAGTAAACACCAACACTCGATGAGAACACTGTTGCCATGAAGGGGTGCCCCTGGTCTGCAATTATGTTCACATACGCACAGATGTCAAGGACTGTTCTATGGGAATGAATGGATACCTAATGTGACCCATGAAAACATTATCCACACCATACTACTGCCACTATCGTTTTGTATCCAACCAACTCTGCACCGAAGTGCTAGGCTTTCCATTAGAAATCAGCATATCTGCAAACACCCATCATTGTGATTAACCAGAAAATGTTATTTGTCAAACTAGATGACTTTCTTCCATCATTCTACAGGCAATGCCCATTTCCTTGGCCCTCTGCAGGTGCTGTAGGCAATGACATTGCTGTCAGCACAGGCAAATGATCTGGGTGCCGGATGCATAGGCCCATACACATACAGATATTCCACAGATATCCATATGGTGAAACCATATGGATCACCACTGTTATAGCTGCTGGTTATTTCAGCCGTTGTTGCCCTTCAGTTATGGAAACAATACATAATGGTATTTACTCTCCTCTGGAATTAATGGCCATGTCTGACAACCAACTGTGTGGAGACTTGTCATTTCACTACAAATACCCACCCTTTGATACGTACTCACAACAGTTTTATACGAGTGCCCCATTAAATTTGGCATTTCTGAAATCAATGTTCTCAGGTGCCAATCCATAACGATTCGACCTTTATCGAAATCCGATAAATCAGCTGCTTTTCCCATTTATGTCACTTTTGTCTCCGGATGAGCTCACTGATCTAAGTGACAGCTGGTCATAATGTAATGACTCTTCGATGTATTCTGGGTACTATACATTATTAGAAGAATGCTTAAAAATACATACTTAAAAAAGAGTGCATGGTCAATAATTAAAATAATTTTAACTTTGCTATGGGCCACAAAAAATAAAACTCATGTGCCACCAGTGATTTAAATGACAAAGAATTAAAAACTGCCTGCTAAAAACTTTCATTAACAATTTAAAAGAGTACAAAGATTTTTTCCTTTATTAAGCATTAATTTATAGTTTATAATTTAGTTGATGAAAATTATGTTCTTTTGCATTATGCTCAGAATATGTTTCAGCAATAAGAAACTCAGAGACGAAAAATATTCATCACAGCAAAGAAGTGCTACTTTAGATATCAACTGTACCATACTGTTTTCAATGAATATAATACTCAACAAGTTGCAATACATATTTTTTTATCAGAAAGAATTTATGGAGACATATATTAAAGTTTTCTTTCACAATAGACATTTTTTATTCATATTTTAATGAAATGTTTAAGGAAAACAATGAGTTAATAGGTACATGAACTGGATTAACAATTTAAAGTTTTGTCATTTAGAAAATCAATCTTTAATGTTTTTATTAATCAGACATTTTAATGCAAATAACAAGTATGTATGTACATCAAAAATGAGCATTCTTGTAGAAAAGATGTCAATGATTTGATTGACAGTTTAATATAGGAGGCTTTCAAGACATTTGGGAATAAAGTATTTCCCAAAGTTCTGCAACACTCCAATTTGGAAAATAATTAAACTAGAATTTACATATTATTATAATTAACTGATGCAATTATCATATATAGCTAATACAGAGTTTATTCACATTTTTGTACATAGGAATTTAATACTTTTAACCCTTTGAAGGCACCAGTATATAAAATATACTGGTTGTTTGTCAATTGTTTTACCTCCTTAAAAAGGCTAATTTTCAACACCAAAAGCTATAATCATAAGTTTCTAGTGTTTCCTTTTGATTCTAAATGGCAGCACCATGCTATGAATGTTCAATATTTTGCAGTTATGAAATTAACATACCTTGTTCCAAGTTATCATGTTTGAAGATTGATAATTCTATTGGAGGGGAAGAAAAAATTCAAATTCTGCGAATATTTCACAGACACACGCTGAATCTCATATATCTACTTCATTTCAGTCAAAAGTGATAATTAACAGAAGATTATTTATACGATTTTAAAACAGGTACCGGCACTCACACTGAGGGTACCACGCCAATAGATGGCAGCACCAGTCTTCTCATTTTTTTTACTCTGTGACATGACAGAAATTCTTTATATTATAACAATTTATGACGTAATAATTCTTTTATGATTAATTTATAAGTTGTTTAGGATTCAATATTATGTTCATGAAGGGATCGGGAGTTTACTGACCTGCGCTAGGACTGAATACAAGAATACTAGTTTCTTTTTATTCTTTGTTTACTCCACACAAGTTTAATGGTTTAGCTAAAATTTTTATTTCAGCACTTCACCCTTTCCCAAGAGAAAGACTCATCAATTTCAAAATTGCCATTTGTGTGGTGTGATAAGATCACACAAAGGGAAAGCTCACCTCAAATGGAAATGCACTTAAGGTCCATCTTTTAGTGTAATCATAAAAACTGCCGATTTGAAAGCACGCTTTATTCTTTAGGAAAATATTCTTATCGTCTTTGTTAATTTCAAATGAAAAGAGTAGGCAACGCAAGAGAAATTTAGGCTTGGGTTAAACAATAGGTTGTTTTTGAAATAAATTTCACAGTTGGTGAAATGAAGGAAAATATTTCTAAGGCCTGTTTTAGATGCAAACTAAAATTTATCCAAAAGTTGAAAAGGAGCTCCTAGGAAACCAAAGAGGTTGAAAATCAGAATAAGATACACAATTCACCAAGAAAGTGATCACTTCCAACATCGCAAAACTCGCTTTAGGGGGATTGCAGTATGAAATTCCTAGACTTTTCCAGATTTTGACTAAAATATTTAAATTACCTGAACTTTTTCTGGTTTTCCAGGTAGTGTGGCAACCCTGTTTGTAGCAACAATATACAACAAAAAATTTATGGGTCTTTTTTATTTGAAAAATTTCCATATATTTTAGCATCTAAGTTTACTTGCTTCAATAAGCAAATAACAGTTCCAACTAGTCTTTGCTTCTTTTCCCAATTTATTAATGTTTTAACAATATACCTCTGAAAGACAATTTTCTTTACATGATCAGTTTTTTTTCTTCTCTTATCGAATTTCTAAACTGAAAACATTATCTCCCTTACCTATGTATATTAGATTGGCAGGAAGTAAAAAGACCTTTTTTATGCTAAAATTAATAATATTTAAAAACAAATTAAATATTATAGTACAGAATATTTGTTTATTTATTGTTGTTAATCTAACTTGTCCACGAATCTGGCAAAAAGAAATGTATGAAAAGCATAATTTTACATTTTATGTAAAAATGTAAATGATTCAGCTTAACAATTTAATATCGGAGGGTTTCAAGACATTTGGGAAACAATACTTCCCAAAGTTCTGCAGCACTCCATTCAAAATGAAAGGCAAAACTAATAAATAAGTAAAACCTCCATTGTCATACATTATAACATAACATATACAGCTTATTAACAGACAGTTTCTGAATCCCAGTACACCTTTGAAGTAAGAAACCAATGCACTCCCACTTAGTAGCCTACCTCATAACAAATAAAAGGCCTTGGTTCTACAAGATTGCACTAACAGAATTTCACTGCACAATATAAAAACTTAAAAAAAAAAAAAATGAAATAGCATTTACTGAGAGCCTACACTTTAAGGGCAAGTTTTTACCAAGCACAGCATATATGTGAACAGAACAGTGAAAGTTACATAGGGAAAAGATTAAATGTATAGCAAAATGTGTGCATTGTCCGTTCATAAAGTTCGAAATGGACCAAAAATGAGATATCACAAACTGGGAGAGTGTTTGATTGAAAACACATGTACAAAGTTGAAGAGATGTGGCATTCATGGTTGTAACATCTACTGTAAGTACTGTATAAGCAATGGTATTTGTCCCAAATAAACAATTTCAAGAGATGCAATACTGGCTGAAAAATGCTATTATTCCCAAGGGATCATTGGGATACTAGGCGCTACATCAAATAAAAAGCAAAGAACAATTGTTGCTATGATTAATGGTAGACAAGGTCCATCTATTCTATACTACATCTTGCACCGAGAACCGCACTGCATGGAACAATACCCTGAAGATGTCCTCGGTTCACAGTATGATTGCAGTATAAGAAATCTGTAAAATAATTTCAATTGCATTATCTTTTGTTCTCACAGGCACTCTGATTTTGTTTTTAATGGCTACAAAGTAATAACGCAATTATGTAAAACATGAAAAATTGTAGCCAAATCTAAGATTCTATTAATGCTTTCTGGGAACAATAGTTTTATTAATACTTTCTAAGCCATCATGTATGTCTTTCAAAAGGAATGTACTGCAACAGAATTTCAGCAGTTCCCCCCCTAAACAATAATGCCTTTATTTATATTATAAAGAACAAGGTTTAATTAAATAAGCAAGCAAACAGGGAAACCATGTATTCATATCAAATACATTTGACAAAATTTTCATGGTAACAAAATAGTAAAGCATTTCCATGAAGAATTAGGCAGAGGAACATCATTGCACAGATTCACTGTTTTTATAAACTTAAATCGCTTGTTGTTTTTAGTTAAGGTCTTCTACGAATGTAAATAAAGATTTATTTTAGGGTAAATATGATTAGTTTTGCTAAATATTAACTGAACAAGGATTTACATCATGGAAAACTAGCATTTTTAAAATATAATTACCAGCAGTTTCTTTCATTTTCATTAAAATAAATGCTCCTATTTGACTAGGTGAATACATTTTGCCTTGAGCTTCAAGCCAAGCATCCCCATTAGATGCTTTAACTATTTTAAAAGCTGCTGTCTTCCTGAAAAAAAAAAAAAAAGATATTAGTTAAAAGTTTAAAAATTCAATTTGAAAATACAGTCAAGCCCCACTCACGCATATCAACAGAAGACACTCATTTTTCAAGACATCTTTTTAAATAGTAATGTTACTTTTAAAATGTTTAAAATGCATAATTTATTATTATTATTATTTTGCTATCATTATTCTCTCTAAGCTATTCATTACTCTGTAGTTTATTAGTTAAAAGAAATTAGACATCATTTGGCATTTTCTAAATTACCCAAATTTTCATGATTTGTCTTTCATTACAAATGAGCATATCTACCATAACTGACATGAAATTTATTCTCATATTTCTCAATCACTGATTTATCTCAATTTTTATTCTTCCCAAACTCATGTATATTGAGGAAACTAGTAATTTTTTCTTTACTCTTCTCTTTTCGCCAATTTGCATTTCCTAACATGAATTAAAATCCCAGCAATATTTTTCAACCAACTTACTACCATTATCAGCTAATTAAAAATATTCTGAATCTAACATTTCCATAACATTTTCTGGGGGAATTTTTAACACTTCTGCAGAAAAGTGTTATAACAAGAGCTTCATACTATGACTGAATCATTAGGGCAATGAATACTTTTAACCCTTTGTGGCACAGTGTGCTCAATCTGGGCACACCTAAAACTTTCCTTCTGTACGCACAGAAAAATTGAATGAAAAAGGATTTGAAAGTTAGAATAGGTTACTCTGAACCTTCTTTATTTATAGTAGATGGCAGCTCAACACAAATCAGTCCATATATTTTAGCATGTTTAGTTTTTAAGACCCTCATTTTCAAAGAAATATTCCAGATTTTTTTAGGGTACAAAAGGAATTGTTTGAAAGGAAATTTCTATGTTATTTTTTTGGCTGTATGCTAATCTCCTTATTCTATATTAGTTTTAAATTTTTACTTTGAAATCTTGCCTAATATCGAACGGCAAACCGAGGTGTTCCCAGACTGGGCTCACTGCGAGTCTAGGTCACTGAGAGGCAACTGTATCTTTGTTTCTCTGCAGCTCATTAACATAGAAAGGTGTGTCCACATTTGTGTTTCATTTTCTGTTTTCCCCTTTCTTCTTTTCTCTTTTTTTTGGGGGGGGGGGAGATTTGGTTATCAACTAAGAAATTGTTAGGGTGATTTTCTGAAGGTCAGAGATAATTTTATCAAATAGCTGTTTGGTTTTTCACCAGAGCAGTTCTATTTCACTTTGGTTCAAAGTTTTCTTAGCGCTAAGTTTAATAGTTTTGAGTTGTAGATATTTATATCTTTACTTTATAGTTCATAATTTCAAATTGTAGATATAATATTAGTTTATTTTTTCGGATTTTTAATTATTTTCCAAACGGACCGAAGAGTGCTGACCATTTCTAAAGCACTGAAAGTGCTACACGAATTGCTTTCATACACTGAATCTGATACGGATTCCAGCACTTGAGCAAAACATGCAATATTGGGTTTGCATTTTCAGAAAGGTGGTGTCACTTTCTTCGAAAAGTACTATGATGAAAAAAAAAATAGACTAAAATGTAGATATCATATATCCAAGTTACTTTTTTTCTCATTCATAAGCATGTAATCATCATATAACTAAAAATGAGCTTTTTAGGGGGGTATAGAGTAGCAGATCTCCCTGTAGTACACCCTGGGTACTGCTAAATCCACTATGGTATTCAGAATCTAGTGTGTTTTATTCGCAGGCAAAATCTCTTACGCGCTTCCCAGCAATGCTCGTTTCAGCACTCTTTTCGAAGCTCTATATCAGTATGCCCGCTTCGGGCAAGTATCATTTTAATGATACGTGCCGAATTCTGTGGGTGTGCCCGCTTCGGGCACACCCACAGAATTAAAATGATACGTGCTATCTTTACAAAATTTTACTTGAGTACTCCTCAACACAAGAATTTGTTGTTCCCAAATCAATGCCAATTACTGATCCTTTGACAGTATCGGATCTAAAAACATAAAATAATTTAAACTCTTATGTGGAAAAAGTACAGCAACAGTAATTGTAACCTATATATAAATTACAATTTTAACTAATTAAACTGCCTACCTTTTTTTTTAACGAAATTCCAACTTTAAAAGGTAGCGTGCCGGAAAAAGGTTAAAAGTAAATTGATCTACAACATATTCCATTAGGCTAACCTGAATACACCCAAAAGGATTAATTTCAAATGTTTTGAGGGGGAATATAATATTTCTGAATAAATTCTAATTAAACAAACCAGTGAATTAGGAACTAGTTTGAGGAATAAAGATTTAAATAATAAATCTAAACTTACTGGTCTTTCTGGACTTCTGGATCCTCAAACTTTCGACCAATTAAACGTTTTGTAGCTGAAAGTGTGTTTGCAGCATTTGTCACAGCTTGTCTTTTAGCAGGCATTCCCACTAGCCTTTCACCATCTCTTGTAAATGCAACAACAGATGGTGTAGTCCTAGAACCTTCAGCATTTTCAATAACTTTAGGTGTCTTACCTTCCATGACAGCAACACAAGAATTTGTTGTTCCCAAATCAATGCCAATTACTGATCCTTTGACAGTATCTGATCTAAAAACACACAAAAAAAAAAAAAAAAAAAAAATAATAATAATAACTCTTATGTTAAAAAAGTACAGCAACAGTAATTGTAACCTATATATAAATTACAATTTTAATATCTGATAAACAGATATAAATGACACATAAATATCAAATAAAAAAGATATAACTTAGAAAGGAAAAATCTATGAACAGAATTAATTTGTACCAAGTTTTCACGCAAGTATCCAAAAATATATGGAAAAGAGTGTACATGTTAATAACATGCATTCCACTCAATTAATATGAAATAAATATCTTGCAAAAAATTAACAATACAAGGTAATCCCAGTATCCTCTAGGCCAGAATTTCAGAACAATCAGCTATAGAAGACCATTAATCCTCATCAATAATTCTTTCTTCAGATGCTTCTTTTTTCAAGGTCTTCAGCTGCTTTTTTTATTTTTTGGCTGAAATGCTGCTGTGCCACTCCCAAGAACCAGGGCTGTGGAGTCGGTAGGGAAAATGACCAATTCAGATTCCTGGAATTTTAATGACTCCAACTCCTTCATATATATGTAAACATATACACATGGGTACAGCTTATTTTTTTTAAATAAAAGTAATAGATGCTACAGAAAAAAGTTGATGCATAGCAAATTTTTTATATTAGCATTTATTATCAAATGGAAAAACTGGCATTAGTAATTTCTAAGAAACAGTAAAAATTCGGCAAGATCTTCTTTTTTAGAGGACCATAGATCTGATTTAATCTCTTTTCTTTATTGAAGAAATGATTCCTTCTGCAATAAACCCTCCATTTCAGAAGGAACGAACATCACATTCTTCCAGTCTTGCCTCTTGATAATTTTTCAGATTGTAGTTTTTTGGTGGCTATATACAGTATAGAAAGAAGAGCTTCCAATACTGCAAGATCTTTCCATTGTCTTTCTGTTAGTGAAACATTACGGTTATCTACATCTAGCATTTTCGTCTCCTGTTAATTCTTCAGACTGTAGCTTTTTTGTGGCTATATATGGTATTGAAAGAAGGATTCTTCAAGATCTGCAAGATCATTCCAGTCTTTCTGTTAGTGTTTGGTTGGTGTTGGTGTATTTAATTATGGCAAAGCACACTAGGGCTATCTGCCTAAAGGGAGGGATACCTTCGTGGAGGACTTTCTAAGGGAAACTACGAACTCGGATACACGTTACACATGGGGAAAACCACGAAAACGCCCATGCAGCCAGCCCGTCCGCGGGGATTCGAACCTCGGACCAAACTACCAGTGTTCAGTGACTTTACCGCTCAGCCGCTGGTGGGCCTTTCTATTAGTGAAATATTAGGGTTATTTATATCTTCTGAAAAAGTTCTTAATCCTAACAAGCCACTATATCATCAAATATGTACTTCTACATTGTGTTGCTCTTTTTTCTGCTCGCTGCCAAAGAATGGAATCAATTTTGGGAGTTCTTACTGCTTACCTAAAATCACCAATGAGATTAGTAACTAAATGAATCAGTTTAATAAATAATGGCAAATATCATATCCATCCTGCTAACTTATATTTATTTACTAATATGTCAACAAAATAGAAAATAACTATTTATTAATGTATATAGTTTATAAATAAAAATATCGCAGTTTGACATTAAATTTTTTTCCAGTTCACTTTAATTTCATTTCACATTCAATCTGTTAAAAAAAACTGGAGTCGGAGTCGACATGTTTTTTAGCGACTCCACAGCCCCACCAAGAACCAATATGGTTCTTTGGGAGCATTGCACAATTGATTCAGCAGTTGTCAAATGATGAACAGTCTTGAATAAATTCATCTACAACATAGGTCTCATCAAGACCATTCAGAAAGTCATAACAGGCATTATGTTTTACTGAAACTGAAACAGTACTGCATCACACAAGGAAAAAGATTTACAGAGAGAATACTTGATCAAAGATTTACAAATTCCTCTCTCTCTTTTTTTTTTTTTTTTTTTTTTTTTTTTGAGAGGGGAGGACAACTATATGGTTTACTTCTGGGGTGTCAAAAAAGGATAAAATTCTGTTAACTTCAGTTAGGAAAGAAACACTGTAAAACTGCTGGTGGAATAACTACACAGAGGGCAGAGAATATTGATTTGGATCAATTTTTTTTTTCAATTCATAACAAAAGAAATGGACAAAAATAATAATTAAAAAAATATAGAAAAATTGTTTACACATGGCCCTCCTTTAATTACAAGGAGGGAAAAAATTTTGAGCTACCAAAGTAAATTGAAGATACTTCTTACAAATTACTAATATAAAAATTGCATAGAATTGTTAATTAAAAGATTTCTTAAATTACATGCAAGTCAAATTAAATTAACAAAAAATGTTATTCCAAATAATGAAAATTTTACACTGCACAAAAACATTTTATAAAATATGAACCAAAGAATACTAATTCCCAGAAGTGTATATGTGAAGCATCAGAATGATGTTAACTAATTTCTTTCGTAAGTTAACAAAGAAATTATGAAGAATAATTTATAAATTTGATCAACACCTCAAATATTAAATATTATAATTCACTTACTTATACCGTCTTTGAGCACCATATTTGTTTCTCAGTGATAACAAAACCTGAAAACATAATAGTACATAAAGTTACTCTATTAGTAATTGAGAAGAACATGTTTCAAATTATGAAAACTGAAGAGACTCGTTAAGTTTTATTTGCATAATTTACTCGTATGATGGCTCAGATTTGAAAAAATGTTATTCCAAATAATGATTAACAATTAAATCAATAACTTATCAAAAGGAACATAAATAATCCTATTCAAAAAAATCTAAATTCAAATTAACTGGGGAAAAAAGATAGGGAGTGCAGTGGAGATCTGGGGAAGTGAAAAGCACCTCACTTCTAATGCATGATGCCAGTGCCATATATTGAAATCAAAACATCTATGCATATATTCTAAGATACTATTTTAATTCTTAACACCTGAGACTTCTTGGCACTTGGTTATAATAAGTGGCCTTGGGTGAGAAACAGATGGTTACAAATACATAAGTAACAACTACTGCCCCAAGGGCAAAAATGATTTTCAAAATGGTGACTTATACAAGATCAACAAAGAGATCAATAAAATTTCAAATGCATAAAATAACAATTAAGAATAAATCAAACATAAACTAATATTTAGTTTCTTGATCTGTAGGTCATAATATCTAAATAATTTTAATGTACTATAAAAATACAGTATAAAGCATCTCCATATCTATACAGTAAAATTCCAGAAATTCGCAAAGCTTGGGACCAAAGGTTGTGGGGATTTTGGGATTTCAGAATAGAAAAGATACATCATAATATTCAGACTAAAAGTGCAAAATAAATAAGGCATATTAGATACATTTAATTAAATTATTATACACTATTACAATAATTTATTATGTACATTAATTATTAGATATATAAATTGATTATATGTTATTAGTATTCATTTACATTAGTGCTTACAGGGATATTTAAAAGCATTAGGGATGTATCAATAGACATAAAAAATAAGGGATATAATAAAGCATAAAATATTTCATTTTTTCTACATGTTTCAAACATTTTTCTGATGGAGGTTTGTTTTTAAACTTTAGGGTGCTCCAGAGTAAGTTTTTTTTTTTTTTTTTTTAATTTTTTTAATTATATAGAGTCATAATGTCTTGCTCTGTGACACAGCTTTGTTGTTCTTAAAAATTTAGGTATTTTTCACCAAGTTCCAGACCCTCATTAAAAGATATTTTCTCACTTCTATCAAATTCACTATCTGTGTCAGTGTCAAAATTGTCTTCTTGCTGTGGCGAGTTCAAAACAGAGCCAATGATTTCATCATCAGTCATCTGATATGCCAGCATTGGCTCATCTGAACACATCATCCATTCAACAATATTTACTTCTTGCAAAGCTTCCTCATTTAATTTTTCTTTTGAAAATAAAAGCAATTCTCTTGCTTTAATCCTTGCTGCACTGACCCTAAAACCAGAAAAATCACTGTCAGTTTCAATAAACAGAGAAGATGGCCATACATTATGCCAGGCATTTACTAATGTCATTTGGGAAACATACGAGTAATTCAATGATTCAGCTAACAAATAAATGCAGTCTTTGATGGTGAATTTTTTTTTTAATAATCACAAAGTGGAATAGAAGGGTCACCTGAAAGAATTTTTTTCAGAAACTCCAATTTATAGTGGCATTTAAAACAGTGTATTATGCCCTGGTCCATTGTATGGATCAATGATGTAGTATTTGGAGGCAAAAAAAGGGCCATGACATTATCATGTATTAAAATACTTGCATCTGGATGTGCAGAGCAGTTGTCTAACAATAGTAAAATCTTGCAATTTGATGGTAACCCCACACTGTTACAATGCCTTCTCGCCTCTTTAATGAAATGCTCCATGAACCATTCAGTCATAAGTTGTTTTGTGAACCAGGAAGTTTTATTACTCCTGTAAATCACAGGTAAGGATTTTACTCCTTTCAGAGCTCTGGGATTGGTGCTCTTACCCACTACCACTGGTTTAAATTTGTTAAGTTCCAGCTGCATTGCTGCATACTAAAATGGTAACTCTTTCTTTAGCATCTTTCACCCCTGCCGGTGCACTTTCTTCACTTGTCACAAATGTCTTTCTTGGCAAACATCGGCAAAAAAGTCCAGTCTCGTCCATATTAAAAAAACCTGTTCTGGGCTAAGATTTTCTTCTGCCACTAACACAGAAAAATTCATCAATAAACTCCTCTGCAGCATCTTTATTTGCTGAAAGTTTTTCCCCCACATGCTTTCAGATAACGTATACCGTGTTTCTGTTTAAATCTGTTCAGCTAACCACGCTGCTGAAATGGCACGGCTCCTCTATTTTTAAATCAGCAAGAATCTGCTTCGCCTTTTCTCTCAGGACTCATCACTCCGCCGCTGCCAGAACCACTTGTACAAGACAGCATCGAGGTTTGCCGATTTTGCCTCATGCAAAGATTTCCAGGTTTCGGATTCCGGTGTTAGAATCACTGCTGCTGTAAAATTTCAACAATTTATTTTTCCGTATATTATACACAATCCATGTCACTATTCCATACGATTCTGCTATAAAGTGAGGAGTAGCACCTGCCTCCATCTTTTGCAGAATTTCCACTTTTTTGCATTACCGTCAATGCAACGTATTTACGTTTTTCAACTTTGCAAACAGTACAAACATGAGTGTGTTTCTTATCTGTCATTGTATTAAAAAGTGCTGAAATTTAAAATATCCTTGATTGATCCACAAAATATCTGGATAAAAAAACAGCAGCACTAAAATCTCGTGAAATAAAAAAGTTCAGAAAATACAACAACGTGAATCATGAACTTGAAAGAAGAGTTGAGTGATTCGTCTGCTTTTTTACCTCGATGCAGATTGCAGGGAAAAAACACTTTTATTTTATCATAATGTCAATAATTTGCTATTTCCGTTATGACTAATTATTATTCAGTAATTATGATGTCATTATTCGGTAAGTACTTTTTTCGATATTTCGTACTCCATGTTGTGGTTTCCGGAACCTATAAACTCAATGTTTCTATTTTGAGAGGCAACACGGATTTCAGGAGTTGGCGGATTTTCGGGATTTGACTGTATTACCTGTGCTATATTAATTTGTATAAGTATGCCAACTCAATTTGAAATGTTCCAATAATGATGCTTTATGCTCCACAAAGTTTATATCACTCTTGTAAACAAAGAATTCATATTTTGAGATAATTACTCTTTTATCCCTATACAATGTCAAGAGTACTTTCCATATCTTATAAACTTCCAACGGTACATAATTTTTCAAATGACTGAAAAAGATTTCGAAGTCATTTTGTCAGGACTTGTGCTTCTCTTGATTTGCGTTGGAAACATGAATGATCCTGAATAGGAACAGGGAGCTTACTCAAGCTATGTTCAAGAAGATGTGAAGTAGACAACACAAGCAGGAAGGGCAAAGAATCTCTAAGGAGAAGAAGTAAAGGTTTCCTGAGGCAAATGTGGCTCCGTCAGACTGAAGAGACACTGTGTATGTACCTGAAGCTTATTTTAAAGGGGCAATACATCTACCCTCCGTACCTTTCTGCGCATGTGCGAAATAGCAGGCAAGAAACCGGCATGTCGTCAGCCATATTAGCAATCTTTTACCGCGTTGTTCGAAGAGGTTCATTGAAAGTTTTTTTCAGTTCTTTTCTCTAGTTATTTAAGCAGATCATAAGATGATCATAAGATGGATCATAAGATGACTTTGCATTTTAACATATGAAACTCAATTTATATAATTAATCATATGGCAAACAAATACGTTTAGAAATAATAAATAAAAAAAAAATAGTTTTTGCAGGCATATTGCTATTTCTTTCCAAATTTTTTTACTGAGTTTTAAGCTTTAAACTCAACTAATAATAATATTACGACAAAACGAGCGATCAGGAATAAATTTGCCATTTATAATAATGCGGCAGCTAATGGCATGTATGATTGCATAAATTAATTTTATTAATAAATTGTATTATGCTTCAGCTTTAAATTTATGCTATAGATTACCAATTAATTTATCTGAGAAAATTTATAAACTTATTTAATATTAGTGGTCCACTGAAGATTATTTTTAATGTAGTATATTGATAGTTATATACAATTTTTCGTATTTTATGATTATTTTTGAAAATTTTATATTGATTATTATAAAAATATAATTTTGATTTCTCTCAATATTTGATGTGGTTTAGTGAATAACAGACTAACTCAATCTATCTTTTACTTAGCAAACAACCCAAATCCTGGTATCGCTGTAGTGTTTGTGGGACAACATCTCGAAAAAAACACCAGACAGGAAATTCTTCAGATTTCCTAAGGATCCTATTAGGTAAATCATTTCTAAGTTTAAAAGAAAAACTAAGCTTTGATTATTAATAATATATATATATCTCAATTTTTGATAGAGAAGCAAATATTTCATGTATTTGGAATAATTTAAATAAATAGCTTGTTTTTTTCCATTAAGTGTTCCTCATTATGGACAAATAGTTCAGTGTTCTTCTGTAAATATCCAAGATAACTGTGCTTGTGATACAGTTGCTCCCAAAAGCGTTCATACACTTTAAGAATTTGTAAAAAATGCACTGTAGCCCGGAATTGAATTTGATTATAAAGCCCAATATTTTCTCATATTTCGAAGTGATTTTGAATAAAACCAAATTTTTTCTTCTAATATTTTAGAAGATAATTTTTGTAATTTATGTATTACAAGCTTGAATTGTGCAGGATATCCTACAAAAACTGACAGAAATTTAACTGCAATATTTCGTAATAGTGTCTGCAGATTTCTTTAAAGTGCACGAAGATTTTTGTGAGGTAACTTTTTTGTTACTTTTTAATTATTAATTCCCCCCAAAAGTTTTACTGTATTCTTATAATACTTTTATAGAGTTTTGCTAAGATAAATTTATAGATATATAAAAAATTCTCACAGCATTATTTCACTGAAACATAAGTGTACAAACACTTTAGGGAACCACTACATATTAGTGTGAATAAGGAAGGAAACATTTTAAAGATGCACTTTACGAACAATG